CCTCAGTGGACTCCATAGTATTGTGTGATTTTCGATTTTATGCATTGCGCTTGTGACATCGTATTTGTGAGCATATGATTTTAGTATATGAATTCAATTTAAATGTCATTGATTATTATTTGACATTTGTGCTTAGGATTGGAGATATTAAGTCATTATTTAGATAGTGAGAATTATAATATTATGTGATTTGATTCCGTTGTGTCTTATGCTCTTTGTATGGATAGGTTTAAGAGTCTTAGGACCCAAGTTTATAGCTTAAACTTATTACTTACTGGGCTGTTAGCTCATAAAATCCCCCCCCTCATTTCAGATTAGTAGACTAGAGTAGCGGCCGCTTAGCTTGAGAGCTCTCGGTATAAATCTCGTATGCCGACCTTAGTGTTTTTGATGTGAATGCGGATTAATATATTACCAAAACGATGATTTTGCTTTTATTATTTTAGAAAGTATTTTGAAAAACAATTGCTCTCATGTATTTCTTTGTATAAGTTACTTTTATGTATATAACATTAAGATTAATTTAAATGAGCATAACCTGACTTATTTTATAACTTTGAGTATTTCGATATTTTTCTTAGGATATTTTCATTTAAATAGTTTCCTTTGCAGATGAAGGATATTCCTTCTATAAAACTTTAAATTGTTTTGAAAGCAAATTTTCCTTAAAGGGAAATGTTTTATATAATGAGAGTTTTTACTTCCGCTGCAATATTTTTTTTTAGATAATTTCTATTGTATTTTTTATCTTGAGGAGTACATTTCCCTACTTGGTAAACTGGGAGGATGATCAAAAAGGGGATGTTACACTATTAGAACATATTTGTTCTGGTTGTTGCTTTCCAAGAATCAATCAATTGAATGCATCTACGCAAAGGACAAGATTAAGTAGAATTTTTACTTGGAATGGAGAGAAAACTAAAAAGCATAAATAAATAAATAACTTACCTTGAAGGCTTTAGAGAGAAAAGTTGGTGACAAAGACAGTACTTGTCAAACTTGAAGGAGAAAGAAAGAAAGAGCTACGTGGATGCGATGGTGACTTGGTGAGATTAAGATCTAAGTCTGAGATAATGTTAAAGACTAAAGAGAAAAGATGGAGTCGAAGCTTAAACGTCAAAGGCTGTATAGACTATGGAGGTTGAAGAATATGAGAAGAGTTTGAACTTTGAAGAGTTAGAGTCTTAGGTAGTATTAGGGCAAGCAAGAATAGGAAAGGTCGGGAGGTGAGTCATAAGTGGAGTGGGATTATTTTTACTTCTAGAAGATGATAAGTTAAGAGAATCAATTAGCTAATTAGAGAAAATTAGTCAATTATTAAAGGTTTAGGTGGGATTGAGAATTGAAAAACAAAATAAACAAATAATAAATTAAAAAATTTTAAACTTTTAGACGGGTAAACGGGTCAAACCCGTTAACTCGATGGGTAAACCTGTTATTGACCTGTGACTCGTCAGGTTCTCTTAATGGGTCATTAACGAGTCGCAGATCATAAATATATGACCCTAACTCATTTTAAACAGGCGGATAATAGGCGAGTTAACAGGTTGGGTAAAAAATTACCAAGTCATTAATGCCTATGTAATGGAGTATAGCTCTTCTTTTCCCTTCATTCCTCCCCACTCCTTTTAAAATTCGAAATCAATATCTCCAACTTAAATTTAAATGTATGTTTGGTTTGAAGGAAATAAAAAAGGAGAAATGAATTTTTTAATCAATCAAATTGTAATATTTGTAAACATTACAATTTAATTAATTAAAAAATACAAGCTCCTCCACTCCTTTCTATTTTTATCAAATCAAACATACTTAAAAACTCTTAGGTTAAAACCTCATTTGGGTCCCTCTCCATTAACAAAAAAAACCTTTGTTTTAATCCCTCTATTTAAGAAATTCCATTTTTAGTCCCTAAAATTTATTATTCAGACTCTTTTTAGTCCCTCCATTTTTTTTTTTGACAAAAGAGGGATTATCTTTTTTACGAAAGAAGAACTAAAAAAAGGCCTTTATAAGTAGAGGGACTAAAAGAGGGTTTTTTTAAAGTAGAATGACTAAAAAGAGCTTTTTTTTCCTCCTTTTTAGTTTCTTTATTTTAGAATTTTCACTATCTAATATGTCATGTGTGCAAAAGATAACGAATGGATTAAAAATAAGCTAAATAATAAACTTTAGAGACTAAAAGGAATTTTTTTAAATAGAAGGATTAAAAAAAATTTATTAAAAAAAAAACTAAAGTAGAGTTTTAACCAAACTCTTAATCAATGGAGATAACTCCTTAAGGCACATCTAACTTGTCTAGATTTATATAATTATCTTATGAACTAATTGGTTTGTAGGTATTTACCTTTCTTATCTTCCACCTCCCAACTTTCCTTCACATTTGCATACCATGTAACGGAGAAACTCTTATTACCTACTTACAATTACAATGGTAATAAAGCTTTACAATGTAACTTTTCTCTTAGTTATGTAGTAAGTATTTAAATTTATGTAACACACGACTTAATTAATAATTTATTCTTAAAACTCTTACTTCTTCTTTGATATTAACCTCTCGGTATCTAGTAACCTCATTAAATCTCGACTATTCAGAATCGAATCACGTTGGACCTCATAAATGAAGAAACTCTTTCAACATCTGTTTTTTTATTTATAAGGCTCAAATTCGAGATCTTATTTAAAGAAAATCGATCTCCTTCTACTTGAACTAACAGGTCGTAGATATAACTCGTACCTTTCTTCTATCCTGTATGTTGGGCTTATAACAAAAGTTTCTCTTGTCTCCCTTTATTTTTCTATTTTACAGTCTTTCTTGTACTTGTTTTTTATTTTATATTATGTTATTAGCATGAATTATCTTTATATTATTTGTTTTTAGTATCTCATTTGAGGTCATGTTTTAAATGAAGTAAAATTCTGAGACAAAATTTTATGACAACTTTATTTTTTAATTTTGCAAAAAAAAAAAAGAAAAAAGAAAAAGAAAGAGCTATCATGTC